GTAATAAAATTATGAGAAAAAAGTCAAAAGATTACGAGAATAAACATGAAAAATTACGAGAATGAAGTCATCATACCACAATCCGTTTAAGAAAGAAAACTTTGAGCTCAGACTATCATTGACGGCCGACCAGCACCACCAAACAGCAACCTGAGTCCGCTTTGACATGCTGCCCAATTTGATGCCGGTGTGTTAAAAGATTTCCTTATTTGTCAAACTGATGCAAAAGTAAAGCCTCACATGATGCTCAACATTCCTAATTTTAGTGAAGAAAGTGCTTCTTGCAAGACTTGTCATAAAATAAAACTTTATTCTCATAATATTACTTTTATCTCATCATGTTGCAACATCATTATTGTAATTTTACAACTTTATTCTTGTAGTTTTATGATTTTATTGTCGCAATTTTATGACTTCTTCTCTTAATGTTATGACTTTATTCTTGTTGCGACTGTATTCTCATAATATGATGACTTTATTCTCATGATAGTATAACTTTATTCTTGAAGTGAAAAAAATAAATCTCTAGCTTGGCCCTAATACACCATCATACCCTCCACTGCCACTCTCCTTCCCCTCTAACTCCCTTCTAGCTACTTCTCTCCACACCTGCTCCCAATCAGTTGATTACTCTATTCATTGTTCTGTTTGCCATACTGTATATACCCCTCCTCTGCAGTTACTCTTTGCTGGATTCTCTTCAATACCTCCTGAAGTTGATTTACCCTCTGTTCCCCCTGTTTTTTTCATTTCTGGATTTATGCTTCTATTGCCACCGACCTCATTAAACCTCCAAGAAACCATTTGTGCATCTGTCTCTGAATTTGGGTCCTCTACAAAACTCTACTCGCCTGAAACCCATATATGTATACTTTTTCACATTTGTACAACATGTTGATTTCCAATGTGGTACATATATTTCACATGTGATTTTAACTATAACACTCATATACATGGACTTTTCCGTGTGATTCAAAGTTTAAATGGTAAACTTCACTCCGCCGGTTTCACTTTCTATTCAGTATGATAGGAAGAATATTTATTCTTATGTTGAACTTTTTTTGGTTTGTAGGGCATAAATGCCCTCTAAATAAAGACATAGGACAAAACTAAGTTTTAAAAGATTAAAGCAGGAGGTTTAAACTTTCGTCAACCGCTTTAAAACAAAAGCAGCACAAACAAAAATTTTTGTAGCACCAATGTAGCATAGATTCACTGTTTAGTTTGAATAGGTTAAAGGAATAGTACACCC